ACATCAAGTGAATCAAGTGTGCTTCACCTGTATAGCCATTTTTCTTACCAAATGGATATATATGGTTAGGATTATCCCAAGGAAGCTTGAGTTTGCTGTGTAAACACAGACATCGAAGTCCTTCTGCTGATACAGCCGTGAGATTGCTTTGTTGTCATTTAAACAAGCATAGAGGGGACAGATGATTTGTCCTCAGAGGACCCAAGTCCTTCTAGCTCCTTGTCACTCCGTAAGCCTCTCTAAGTTTGACTTATAGGAGGGAACAAGATAGGGGTGCAGCTTCCTGCCCCTCCTTTTAAGGCTGATCCAGCCCCCGGGGCTGCCAAGGCATAATGGTGTGCTATCTTTTCCCTGACTCTGTGCCCTCTGAGTGCAGCACTTAGGAGGAAGGAGACAGCCCGGGGAGGGCACGGAGTCTACCACAGCTCATTAGACGGTGCCTGTGGTGGCAGTGGTGGCTGCTCTTGTCCAGAGTGTGTGCTGTGACAGAGCAGGGGCACACTGGGAGTAGGCCTTGGACCCATCCCACAGCATGGCTCTAGTCCTGCAGCTTCTGTTGGGAGTTCAGTATGTAACCCAGGCTAGCCTCAGACAATCCGTCTTTCTGCTCCCACCTTTGCAGTGCTGGAGTTAGGGCTGTGTGCCATGACACCTGGCTACATGCAGGTGTTTGAAATGCGTGTTTATATGAAACTTTTTGAAAATAGAGATGTATGTTATATGAGTAAGATGTACAGATCTTCAGTGTACTTTATTTTTTTCTGTTGTGATAAAACACTGACCAAAAGTCACTTGAAGAAGAATGAGTTAATAGAACATCCCAGAGGGAAGCCAGGGTAGGAACTCTTGGCTGGAACCTGAAGGCAGGGACTGAAACAGAGACCACGGAGGAACGCTGCTTCCCGGCTTGCTTTTGGTGGCTTGCTTGGCCTGCTTTCTTGCACAGTACAGGACCACCTGCTCAGGAGTAGCATTGCCCACAGTAGGATGTGCCCTCAAACATCAGTCATTAAATAAAATGCCCCACAGATAGGCCCATTGACTAGCCTACAGCAGGCAATCTCTCTGCTCAGGTCTCCTGTCCCAAGTAATTCTAGTTTTTTTTTTTTTTTTTTTTCAAGTTGACAAAAATTAACCAGTATAGTTGAACCCTTTGTCAACCTGACATAAAAATATGTCACTGTTAAGCCATAACTCCCTTGCTTTTCTCCAAGATCTCATGTTAACATTACAGCATAAACTGTTGAGTAACATCCAGAGTCTCACAGCCTTGAACAAAAGTCAAACACTTTGAAGAGTTCAAGGTCTGGCAAAAATACCGCCGCTGGGCACACGGCTTTCCCTCCTCCCCCAGCTGCCTCTGGGCCTTGGCTGCTCTCCTCCTCCATGGACTGTTTCTCCTTAAGTGAATAGTCTCTGGCCCAGGTGTTTAGCCTCCATTCTGGGCATGAAGACTCTACAAAGATGTCATCTTTAGACTCTGGTGGCTCTTACCCTGAGGAATCTTGGCTGGACCAGGAGTTGATGGCCGTCCTCATCCACTGTGGCACTCTGGCACCCCACAGTGAGGAGGTCTGCAAACTGAGGCAACCACAGAGGTGGGAGGGGGCTGGGCACCAAGCTGGATGAGTATTCGCTTCTGTAAGAGGACTGGATGGATAGACAGACAACTGGAGAAGGACAGCAAGACCGTGTGACTGCTGGCACTAGTCCTGGCCACCCTCCTCCCAGACCTCTTCAGCTGGGGGAGTCATGACCCCCACCTCAAAGCATCTCTGCATTGTAGCTCAACCTCCTCTTGGGGCTGCTGTCATCCGACAATGTCACAATAGGGAGTGTGACCCTTCAAGAATTAATGACAAACAAGCGAGGTTCTTTGGCCATTGTTGACGATCTTACCTGATGTGGGTGAAAATGCCTCAGCCCTTTATCAGGTTCAGGCCTTTTTGACAATGAGTTCTGTAAGGCAGAGAATTTCATTAGCTGCAACTGCTTTCCACGTGCAGTGGGCAATTTAAATGAGATTTAACTCAGGCAGCTCTTTGAATGTTTATTAGACCTGACAGATAAAGTGTCCAATCTCCCTGGTGTGCTGTTTTGACACAGACACTGCAGAGGTACCAGGATACTTAAATGCCGTGACGCAGTCTTGGAAAAGAAGCTACGGATACCCCGTCTGTCACCAGCCCATCCCTCGCAGCCTTTGGGCACAGCAGCTGAGCAGAAGCAAAGGCTTCCCCAGCCATCTTCTTTCTTAGTTCAGCATTGCTTTTCTGTGGGGATGATAGTGTTTGTAATGGCAAATTCAGGAAGCTTCAAGGCCAGGCATGGTGGCTCACACATTTATGGAGGCAGAGGCAGGCGAATCTCTGGATTCAAGGTCAGCCTGGTCAACTTAGTGAGTTTCAGGCCAGTCAGGGCCAGCCACATAGAGATGATCTATGATCTAACAAATAAAGCTTGTCTGAAGATCAGAGTGCAAAGCTAGCCACACTAGTCAGCCATAGAGGCCAGGCAGCCGTGGCACACACCTTTAATCTGTTACCTACTTGTCTTCTGTTTTTATATTGTGTTTGTTACTATATAAAGTGTTCCTTTTGGTGGTTTGGATTCTTTTCTTTTTAAAATGCTTTATTCTGGCTGATTTAGTTTACAGATTTGAATCCGTTTCAAAGAAATTCTGAGTTCTATTGAATTTCATGAAAATATTTGTTACAATAAACAAAATTCTTGGGAATTAAAAAAAAAGATACATAATTTCTTAGTCCAAAAGGGAAGAACCAAGGCATAGAAACAGCCAGGCTCAATCAAAGCCCAGCAGTGCACGCCTGATGGTGCATTGTCTGGCATCTGGGGCTCACTCGTGACCTTCTGGGCTCTGCCTTCCATCACAGCTTGTCTGGTAGGCTGAGGCCAGCTCCACGCTACACTGGCTGCTGTCCTTGGCAGTCTCTTCATGGCCCTGGCTGAGGCCAGCTCCACGCTACACTAGCTGCTGTCCTTGGCAGTCTCTTCATGGCCCTGGCATCTCCAGGATACTGAAGGCTCCACTGAAGTTAGGCCATACCTTCACCAGTGGCTTCTGCTGACTTCTGACATTGCCAAACCTGAGCTTCTCTTTGTGGCCTCTTCAGTCCTGGGGTTTCCATTGCAACAGAGGCTGTACCTTCACTGGTGGTCTCCCATGGATCTTACAGTGCTGAGCTCAGCTCCTCATGATCCCTTCATGCCTTCAAACCAGTGCCATGTGAAAGACTTACATTGTTTCCCTTTGTTCAGCGTTGGTCTCCTACTGGTCCACAGCTTCTATGTATTGGGGCTGCAGACATACTCCCCAGATTTTATCTCAGTGACGCTGGTCTCTTGTTATAACAGCTAATTTTTTAAGCCAATCTAATTATCATTGATTGTCCTGGTAAAGCAAAGGTTTTACTTCCATGGGTCCTTAATTTTTAAAACCTGTCCTATGACTAGCCCTAACACAATCTGTGCTTCTCTCTTTGCAAGCCAGGCCTGCATTGTCTGCGCTCTGGACATGAATGTTTGATATGTAATGGTAGGGTTCAGTATTTGCAAAGCCCAGGTGTCCTAAACTCTGCTTTCTCTTTGGCAAGGAGGGACAGATGATTATCTCGTTGCCTGAGAGCTGTCTGCTCACCACGAACACTGTGATTCGAAGCTCCTTAGGGCCCTACATGAAGAAGTAAGTCACCACACCTTGCATACCTGGTGCCAGTGCTGTTCCTTGAAAGTCTCTGCCATTGGCAGATGTGTCATGACTGACATGGCATGAGGACCCAGCTCTTGTCTATCCAAGAAATGCCTGGTGTGATTTGAACCATGACCTCTCAGTTCCCTGGGAACCGTGTCTCTGAGGTTTTCAGTCGGCTGCCTGGGATATGAGTGTGAACCCTGCTTCCTGTTTGCTAGGAAGCGAGCATGAAATGCGATGGTGCACAGGGTGAAAAAGTCCTGCAGATGCTACTGGTTCACCCTATTGTACCTGCTTGGCTTCTTCCGCTAAGAACGGATTTGGCTTTAGGGAGGAGTTGGATTTAGTTAGGGATGAAGGAGATCAGGCAGTGCAGGATTTGGCATTAGGGAGGAGTTGGATTTTGTTAGGGATGAAGGAGAGCAGGCAGTGTAGGTTAAGAGCCTTGTTCTGGGCACATGGTAATGAGCTTTGGTTTTGGAGCCTCCTGAGGACAGAGAGAGCCTCAGCAGAAGTGATCTCTACATTTTGAGGTTTCAATGAAAGACAGCACTGTTTCATACCTAATGAGAGAATTACCATTACAGAGTCAGGTAAACATATAAGGGTATTTATTAGGGAGGTGCCTTACTTACAGAGCAACCTAGCCAGCCGGAGGGCAGGAGTAAGTACAGCAAGCCGAGGATGAAAAGGAAGAAAGGGCTTCCATGTGAGCACCCCTCACTCTTAAACCTTCCCCATGGCACCTGCACCATGCCCTCGCAGGCGTGGTTACGGTGTCTTCCCTACACATACCCTCCCCGCTCACATTCTTTATGGGCCTGTGTAGACTTGAGGATGCCCTGGTCACAAGCAGAGTGATGTGGGAATCTGGACTTTAAAAGGTAATGATAACATTGCTAAGTCTGTTTATGCCATAGGGGCTGATTTGTGAGTAGCTATTCAGAACACAACTACATAACTTGTATTAGAACTCCCAAGTTCAGGAACAAAAGCTCAAAGTGTGTAGTAACGAACAGACACAGTCTGTCTGGGTCGGCACTGTCCAGTAGAACTTGCAGAAACGGTGGAGATGCTTTGTTTTGTATTATCCAAGATACGACTCACAAATGCATGTTGAGTTAACTGGAACATGGCCTGTTTTACTAAAGAATAACTCTTAAGCACTCCTTAACTATAAATAATTTAAATCCAAGTGTAAGACCCCCAGAGACTCAGGCCTCAGGATCCCAGCCCAGACTGCGGTCACCCCAATCACCAGGTGGCGGATGGCTAGAAAAGACAGCTTGAAGCGTCTGCATAGAGATCTTGTAGGGCAGCATAAGGGGAGTGTCTAGGGGTACGCACAGGCTCAGGATTGGTGTGCCTCCAGGCTTGGAGGGTTTGCCCTGTGTTGATTGGTCAACTGGTTGTTATGGCCTATAGGCCCTCCCAGGGTGGTTGCTATGCTCTGCCTGTTGTTGCTGTGCACTTGTCCGTAAAGCACACCCAGAGCTGTAAAGCATAGCACCACCAGCTAACTTCTGATTGGTTCCTTGGCACGAGGCAGGCGCCTAACCTCCTAGTGACCAAGGCAAGGTCGTGGCAAGCACGTGTTACTGTTATGGCTGCCGAAATGGGGAGCTGGTCCCTTTGCAAGTAGTTCCTCGAGCCAGCATTCACTGGGTTGGATATTGCATTTCTCAATCTTTTACCCCTCTGGACTCCCCGTTGTATATATCTTTACAAGGTGAAACCCAGGAGCGTATAGAAAAAGCTTTCACCTGGGCGGTGGTGGTGCATGCCTTTATTCCCAGCACTGGGGAGGCAGAGGTAAGAGGATCTCTGTGAGTTTGAGTCAGTCTGGTCTATACAGTGAGTTCCAGGACAGCCGGTGTGATTATATCCTGTCTCAGAAAACAAAGGGGGAGCTCGGGAGAAAGGAAGAGAGGGAGGAAGGAAGAGAAAAGCAGAAAGAAAGAGAAAGAAAGGAAGGAAGGAAGGAAGAAAGAAAAAGAAAATCTTTCAACAGGAGAACCAGGCTGGAAACAAGATGATGATGATATTATTATTTATTATTATTATTATTATTTATTATTATTATTATTTTGTGAAGCAGATCTTACCTACTAGCCACGGAAATGGCATTGGTGGGAAAGAGAAAATAGACCGTGTTGGGTGTGTTCTGGGGAGACGCAGTCGTAGGAAAGATGCCTCTGTCTTGGATGGCGTGTCGACAGCTTGAGCATATTCCCTCTGAAGCAAACCAAACTGTTTGGCAGAGTTCACACTTTAATTCCTTCAATTTGACTTTTCATTTTGCAAGGTGGAAGCCTCCCCCATCTCCTCTGCTGGCCCTGTGCACCTTTTTAATCTCAGAAAGGCACGCAGGCGGTCAGTCCCTCTGGAAATCTTACCTGGACATTTTACCCAAGTCGTACACCTGCCCGGTCTGCTTGGAGCCGGACGTGGTGGATCTTCTGCCCCAACCTTTGAAGGCGAAGGCAGAAGAACAGAGAGCCGACGTGCAGGACTTCTTTGCCTCCTCCAGAGCCTTCTTCTCCACCCTGCAGCCTCTGTTTGTGGAGCCCGTGGACGGCATTTTCAGCTACAGCGCCTTCTTGTGGGCCTGGTGCACTGTGAACACCAGAGCTGTGTACCTGAGGTCCACGAGGCAGGAATGCCTTTCTGCAGAGCCAGACACATGTGCACTTGCGCCGTACTTGGATCTGCTGAATCACAGCCCACATGTCCAGGTGAGACACAGGCATGGACACGGGTCCTGTTGTTACAGAATTCCAACAGGTAGAGTCAAGAATGAAACAGTGCGGGTGTAACCTGTGTCGGGTAAATGTGTTGGGCCAACCTCCTTTCAGCTGCTCTTTGTTCCTGGCCCTGATATCATTCTAGCAAAAGTCTCCTTTGCTTTTGGACTGAGCTGCTCTCCAGGCCTGCAGGGCCCTGCGCTGAGCCCCTGGGGCCCAACCCAGAGAGAGTATTTCTTCGCTGCCCTCCAAGACTGGGGTGTGGTCTAGCGTCCTCCCTGGCCCATCCCTTTACACCTAGCGGTGTGGCTGTCCACACCCATGCCTGTGTCCTGATTGGGGATCATCTGCACCTCCTCCATGGACTCGAGGCTTTTTTCAGGTTTTCTGTTGTTCCTCTTTGAAGCCCCAGTGCTCAGGGCAAGGTTGATTATGGAACAGATGAGAAGCTGTGTGACGAGGAGTCTGGGAGTCACTGAAGAACCCCACTAATGACAGTCACAATGCCCTCTCCCTCAGCCCTTTCCCCACTGGCACACACTGCAGTTATATGTGTTTGCATGGCATGCTGGGAGAAAGACCAGGACAGAAAGGCCAGGTTTGGAGGGCAAAGAGGAAGTGACCTGTCAGCTCACCTGAAACCTGTTTAGGGGACACTGGGTTGGGACCTGCGCCTTTGCTGTCCCCTAAGAGACATATGCTACCAGGAAGAGATCACCTGTGTCACCTTGTCACCTCACATAGCAGTAGGAGGACTCAGGGAGGTCCTGCTTGTGCTTTTGGCCCTGGGATGATCCCAGCCTGGGCATTATCCAGTCTCCAGCCCGTGAGTCCCTGTTAGGTCAAAGGATGCTGGTTTTGTAAATGTGAGTTTTCTGGCCTGTAGGTCCTGTGGCCCTTTGTCCTGACCTGCAGGACGTCAACGTGGGGCAAGGGAGGGATAGAGAATGGGGACAAGAGACACAGAAAGAATGACCACAAGACAGGATTCTGATCAAGTGGCAAACTTTACTTTTCTCAGGCTAGCTTATATAGTCGGCCAAGCAGGATATGGGGAGGGGCAGAATGGGTTGTTTGTGCACCAGGATATAGGCAGGATATTAGGAAGCCACAAAGACGGTGTTTGGCAGGGTAAACAGTTCATGAGTAAGAGGTCCTAGAAGGGTTGCCTAGGAGACTGAGCTTGTGGGGGGAGGACTGGGTTTAAGTTGTTTCTTTTCTTGAGCTGAGGTTCTAAGGAGCTGCTATGTTAAAGGTTAACTATGTGGCCAGCCAAGCATGGCCCAGGATCTCATGCCAAGCCCTGAGATTTGGCTCCCAACAGCCCTTGAGTCACAGAATAAACACACAGACGCTGTATTAGTTATAAAGCTGTTGGCCTGTGGCTTGGGCTTCTTATTGGCTAGCTCTGTCTTTATTACTAACCAATAACTACTCGTTATGCATTTCTACATGGTCTCATCTAACTGGAGAACACCCGACTCCCATTCTCTCTTCCCTGGGCTCACAAGGTGGACTCCTCTCTGCCTATACTTCCCAGAACTCTCGTCTCCTAGCCCCACCTATCTTCCTGCCTGACCAATCAGTGTTTTATTCATCAACCGATAAGAGAAACATACACAGAATAACATCTCCTATCGTCTCCTCTTTTCTGTCTAAATAAAAAGAAAGGTTTTAACTTTAACATAGTCAGATTATATATAACAAAACAGTTATTAAGGCAGAGCTATACTGGACACAGGGACTCAGACCCTAGCAGCCTCTCTGTGGTTTTATTGGAGGTTTGTACTTGAGTGATTTTATAGGCTGATGTACTTAGAAGAGCACAGTCATATCTGGATGATGGGAGCCTGAGGGCTGAACTACAGAAGGCCTTTATGGCTCCAAGGATGATAAACAAATGAAACTCGTGGCCGAGACCACCAACTGGGGAAAGCCTTTGCAGATTCTCACTACTAGTGGGTCTTAGCGTTGCCATGTTGTCGTCCCTCGGGCTGTTGTGACAGACACTCCAGACCAGAGTCAGATGTCATGTGTATGGTCACTTTCAGAGTCTGTGGTTGGACCTCCTCCCTCACCAACAGGTGAAGGTGAGATGGAGGAGGAAACAGGCTCAAGTGTAGGGGTACCAGTCCCCGCCACAGGCGGCGACATTGCAAACTGCATCATACCACAACTAATATGATAACTTTTTGATTAGGCTAAAAAGAGAAAGAGAAATCTTACACCTTTCCCCTGCAGGTAAAGGCAGCGTTCAGCGAGAAAACCGGCTGCTACGAGATCAGGACAGCCTCACGCTGTAGGAAGCACGAGCAAGTGTTCATCTGCTACGGCCCCTATGATAACCAGCGGCTGCTCCTGGAGTACGGCTTTGTCTCTGTCTGCAATCCTCACGCCTGCGTTCCTGTCCCAGGAGGTTGGTGTTGGTGCCATTCTCCCAGAGGCAGGGTTATCGGCCATTGCAGTAGGAATGCAGTGTTCACTGGCCTCAGGCAGAGCTAGCCTTGCCTTCACCAATTGGAATCTCTGTTGCAGTAAAACCAGCAAAACTGATTGATGAACTGATGAGGTGGCGAGGGAGGAAAGCTGCTTAGGAAACATGTGACAGTCACGACTGGGAGGGGGCAGATCTTTGTACTGAGCAGAAACTTAGCAAGCAGCTTACGCTGAAGCAGTTCCTAAGCCACAAGTAAGTGGCTGGAGATTTCCCAGCGTATATTCCAGGCATGTGTGTGCAGGTCAGGTGAACATAGAACCTCTCAGGGAGATGCTGCCTACCCTGTAGGCAGAACAACAATTACATTTCTTAGGTTTAAGATAGAAGAGACAGAGGTGGGCCAGTGAGATGGCTCAGTGAGAAGAGGGGCTGCACACCAAGCCTGACGACCTGAGTTCAATCCTCAGGACCCATAGGGTGGAAGGAGAACTGACTCCTGCAAATTGTCCTCTGACCTTCGTGTGCGTGTGTGTGTGTGTGTGTGTGTGTGTGTGTGTGTTACATACACAGCACATAGAATAAATCTGTGTAATGAGTTTTTAAAAAGAAGACTGAGAGCGGGGACTTGTACAGTGAGTTAGAAAGCCAGCTTTGGCCAGGCAATGGTGGCGCACGCCTCTAATCCCAGCACTGGGAGGCAGAGACAGGTGGATCTCTGTGAGTTCAAGGCCAGCCTGGTCTACAGAGTGAGTGCCAGGACAGGCTCCAAAGCTACAGAGAAACCTTGTTTTGAAAAACAACCAAAAGCAAGCAAGCAAGCAAGCAAGCAAGCAAGCTAACAAGCCAGCTTTGAGGTTGCCTCATTCAGAGTCCTGCAGTTGCCAGACGATGACTCTAACTGTCACAGTGCCAGGTAAACCCATTGAACAACAACTACATTTACTTATTTGTCCATTTGCTCACTTAAAAACGGAGTAGGGCACCAAGGATTGGCTCAGTGGCAGGACAATTGCCTGGCATGTGCAAGGCCCTCACTGAAGGAAAGGGAAGGCTTGTTTTTGTCAGAATTATACACCCCCAAATCCCTGCTTTTTTTTCTTTTTTGTATATAAAATGCAGAACCGAAGCCTTTCACCACCTCACAACAAAATAGAAACCCTTTGCTTTCTCTCTCCTTCAGAAACCCTTTGCTTTCTCTCTCCTTCAGAAACCCTTTGCTTTCTCTCTCCTTCAGAAACCCTTTGCTTTCTCTCTCCTTCAGAAACCCTTTGCTTTCTCTCTCCTTCAGAAACCCTTTGCTTTCTCTCTCCTTCAGAAACCCTTTGCTTTCTCTCTCCTTCAGAAACCCTTTGCTTTCTCTCTCCTTCAGAAACCCTTTGCTTTCTCTCTCCTTCAGAAACCCTTTGCTTTCTCTCTCCTTCAGAAACCCTTTGCTTTCTCTCTCCTTCAGAAACCCTTTGCTTTCTCTCTCCTTCAGAAACCCTTTGCTTTCTCTCTCCTTCAGAAACCCTTTGCTTTCTCTCTCCTTCAGAAACCCTTTGCTTTCTCTCTCCTTCAGAAACCCTTTGCTTTCTCTCTCCTTCAGAAACCCTTTGCTTTCTCTCTCCTTCAGAAACCCTTTGCTTTCTCTCTCCTTCAGAAACCCTTTGCTTTCTCTCTCCTTCAGAAACCCTTTGCTTTCTCTCTCCTTCAGGAACCCTTTGCTTTCTCTCTCCTTCAGGAGCATTTGTCAGTTCTCACACTTTCACTTTGTAGCTGCAGTCGCTGATCCGTGGACGGCGTTTGCACCTGGCTTGTAGACAGTATTGCCCTCCTTCTTCCCTGAGTTCCTCAGCACCCTCCTCTTGGCTCTGTCTCCCAGCAGTGGCTCTAGCATCTTCTCTTGTTATCCTGCAGATGTGTTTAGTGGGGGCTTGAGTCTCGCTTCTCAGTATTCTAGGAGACCTCACAGCTTTTCAGGCCATCTCAGTGGGTTGCTCTGAAGAGGACAGTTAGTATGAATTAGGAAACACTCTTGGATATACAGGGTGGTGATGGGGGTGGGGAAGGATGGGGGGTGAACAGGCGCACAAGAAGATGTCCATTCTGAAGGACCGAGGCTTTACAGAGTGAGTGCTCTTCTGCTCATTTCTATGAAAATACTTAGGGTTCTGCCTTCTGTAGCCGTGACCCCTCCTGCCTCTATTAGCCGACAGCTGGGTGTTTATGGTGTTGGAGACACTCAAGGAGTGGGAGGCAGTCGCCGGGGAATGCGTGAGTCAAGCTCGAAACAGTTCTGTGAACGTTGTTAGGTGGGTCAGGTTCAGGTGGGATGGTCTGGAGTGGTCACAAGCCAGGCTGACCCCTAGCAGAACCTGTCTGCCAGCATCGGTACAGATCAGGGCAGTGAGAGGCAAGATCCCAAACTCACACTTGGACATCTTTTCTGTATAAATCAGGTTTTCTGTGTGTAGCAACAGTGTGAGGCTACCCTTCCCCGTTCATCTCAGTGTAAACTGTGTGGTGTGGTTACGTGGCCTCTCGCTGTGGTCCCCTATACCAAATTTAATGTCTTACTGAAATTGATTGGAAAGTGGCTTCTCTCCCTTGTCTTAGGGTTGCTGTAATAAAACACCATGACCAAAACCAAGTTGTAGAGGAAAGGGTTTATTTGGCTTATACTTCTACATCATAGTCTTATTACTGAAGAAAGTCAGGGCAGGAACCTGGAGGCAGGAGCTGATGCAAGAGCCATGGAGAGATGCTGCTTACTGGCTTGCTCTGCCTGCTTTCTTATAGAACCCAGGACCACCAGCCCAGGGATGGCAGCACCCACAGTGGGCTGGACCCTCCTCCACCAATCACTAATTAAGAGCCCTATAGGCCTGCGTGTAGCTTGATCTTTAAGGAATTTTCTCAATCCAAGCTCCCTCCTCTCCAGTGACTCTAGCTTGTGTCAAGTTGACAAAACTATCCAGCACAACCCAGAACAGTCAGAACACAAATTCCTTTGACCTAACAACATATGTGCCTGTTCAGAGCTGCTGCTAGGTTCCTTGGGTGTTTGCCATGGTGTCATTCTTAAGTGACAGATTTGGTGCTGTCTGCTTTTCTCTTGTAGAAATTTGACATTTGGATGGGATGGGCCATCTTGGAGGTTGTTCACAGCTCTGAAGTTGCTCTGTCTGGAAGCTGAGAAATTGTAAGTTTCACCTGCATCCCCCCCCCATTCCCCCTCCCCCTGCTTGTTTTTTGAGACAGGGTTTCTCTGTGTAGCCCTGGCTGGCCTGGAACTCACAGAGATCCATCTGCTCTGACTTCCAAGTGCTGGGATTAAAGGCGTGTGCCACCACCACCAGGCTCCTGGCTGCTTCTTGGTAAAAGTTGAAGGGGTTTGCTTGGGAGGCTTGCATTTAGGGGGAAAAGGAGGAGACTCTGCCCCAAAGCTGCTCTTTGAGTGGCCCACCCAGCCTCTCAGAGTGTGTGGCTCTGAGAACTTTGCATTCTCCATTGAGGTATTCCCCCTGGTGACCTGGTACTTACAGTCTGATTAGTGACTGTGTGTTGTCAGCACTAACACCTCAGATGCACATCTCTGAGTAGGTGGGCTTTCCTGTGACAAGCAAGCTCCTAGCTATGCCCTGTCTGGTCCCATGTTTCCCTGTTGGAGCCTGCTCCAACGAGTCAGCTGGGTTACCAGAGTAGGAGTGTGAGGATTGAGAAATGGCAGATAATGAAACAGAGACAGAAACACAGGATAGATTCGGGAGGACTGCCAGGTTCATGCAGACAGCCCCGAGTTTAATTTAGACCCTGCTTATACACAGGCTAGAGGCAAAGCAGAACAAAGAGCATCACAGTCAATTAAACATCTTCCTGCACTGTCCTTGAATCGAGGGGCAGCCAGGTTCACTGTCTATCACGTGAGTCCTGCTAGCAGCAAGCAGCTTCATTCCCTATCTCTATGTGCCTTTTGCCTGGCATCAGAAGCTTGCTAGTCAGATCATATGCTCTTTGCCATGGGCTTCATCAGAACTTTCTCACGGCTCTCAAGGAGACTGAAACAAGCAAGCTAGAAGTGTAATTAATGTCTTATAAGTCAGAATAGACTCCAGATGGAAACTGAGTCACTTGTGGGCTCTCACAGCCTCCCCCACCCCCAGTTCTACTCTGGGGTTGATCTCCATGAGAGGATGCAGGTAGAGGAGACCCGGTGTGACATGCATTGTGATTGGCTCCTTAATATTCGTAAGGGACCGTCAGTCACATCCCAGAGCTTCCTGCCAATCTTCATAGCTGTGCTCAGGTCATCACAGGGAGTCCTCCAGGTCATCACAGGGAGTCCTCTAGATCCTCACAGGGAGTCCTCCAGATCCTCACAGGGAGTCCTCCAGGTCATCACAGGGACTCTTCCAGGTCATCACAGGGGCTCCTCCAGGTCATCACAGGGAGTCCTCCAGATCCTCACAGGGACTCTTCCAGGTCATCACAGGGGCTCCTCCAGGCCCAGGACTGATTTGACAGCAGCTGCCCTGCTGCTTCCTAGTACAGTGTAGGAACAGCCCCAGCATAGCTCTCTTGTCCTTATGACATTCTATTCTTTCCTGTGGGGACTTAGAAGTAAAGTTTCTTTCTGGTCTTAATTAGCAGAAATGTAGTTGACTCATGAACAGCACAGGTTTGCCCCTGGCAGATTCACTTACATGGGGATTAAATTGTTTTAAAATAATTGCACACAGAAATATTGAAAAATTTAAGAAAAAGTTAGTTGTAGAAAAAGAAAAGTAGAAAAACATGCACACATAAGTTGTCTGTTTTATCATGTACTACTGTATGTAGGCAAATGTATCATAAAACGTTAAAAATTTTAAAAAATGATGATGCATAGCTTTATAGACTGTAGATGGCGTGTGCCTTAGTGTTCTATTGCTGTGAAGAGACACCATGACCACAGGAACTCTTATAAAAGAAAGTATTTGCTTGGGACTTGCTTAGAGTTTTAGAGGCATGGCGGTTTGAATAAGAACAGGCCCTATAGACTCATGTGTTTGAACACTTGGTCCATTGGGAGTGGCACTTTCAGGAGGTCTGGCCTTGTTGGAGGATGTGTGTCACTGCAGGGTGGGCTTTGAGGTCTCCTGTGCTCAAGCTACGCCCAGTGTGGCCCATAGTCTCCTTCTGCGGCCTGAGGATCAAGCTGTAGAACTCCTAGCTCCTTCTCCAGCACCGTGTTTGTCTGTGTGCAGCCATATGACCTGGTGGGGCTCCTCCCTTGTACTGTAGAGAACCAGGCAGGTGTCAGGTCCACCCAGCGCACAGCATGAGCCCAGGCAGGGCGTGGCTCACCACTGCTCTCCTGTCCTGTCTTGTCTCCTCTCACTTGTGCTCCCTGTTCATTCACTCATCATTTCATTTGAGCTCGTGTGCACCCCATGGGAGCAAGGTGTGTGCGTGTGCATATATGTGTGTGTGTGTGCACGCGTGCACTCACATCCTTTTAAGGCGAAAGCAACAGCTGTTTGCAGAGGTCATCCCAGATTCATCTTCTTCCTTTGGGTCACTTACATGAGCGGCGTGGCTGGGGTTCTGGCTGATGGGTGTTTGCGCCATTTCTGCCTCTCTGCTTTGCCTTGTGAGGTAGAGCCCCACCTTTCCCAGTTTTGTTTCTTTGACTTTAAGTGGGATGGTATGTTTTGTTTCTAGGGAATTAAGAAGATTAAGCTAGATAATTGCAGAGGAAACACTCAGGTACCCGGTAGTTCTTGGCCGCCTTGTATAATAAGTCGCCTCCTGACCTTTGAGCCGTCGGCCTTTGAAGGCGAGGTTCATCTGTTAGCTGGACCGTCTTGTCAGTGGCTGGGAGTATCTGTCTGCAGTATGCACTCTGATCTGCCTGTTCAGCCACCATCCCACCTCCTTCTTCTAAGCCACTTCCCTGAGTACAGCCAAGGGGCATGCAGTACCCCTACGTAGCTGGTGGGTGTGGCTCCGGTTACTTGTATGCCAGACACAGGATTGACATGAAAATACAATTCAGTCGCAGCTGGCGAAGAGCATCAAACTAGCTGGCTCCTTTTTGGTTTACTCTTGGCTACTCTTTCTTCCTCTGTTTCTGTGTGTCTTAGCGTTTCTATTGCTGTGAAGAGACGCCATGACCACAGCAACTCTTACAAAGGAAAACATTTAATTGAGGTGGTGGCTTGCAGTTCAGAGGTTCAGTCCTTTATTGTCATGGCAGGGAGCATGGCAGCATGGGGTCAGACTTGGTGCTGATTACATCTTGATCAGAAAGCAACAGAAAGTGGACTGTCTGTCACACAGAGTGAAGCTTGAGCAAAAGAGACTTCAAAGTCCACCCTCACAGTGACACACTTCTTCTAACAAGGCCACGCCTCCTCATAGTGCCACTCTCTGTGAGCTTATGGGGGCCAGTTGCATTCAAAACACCACAGGAACTGCAGTGACATTACAGGTTTGGGGACCAGCCTCACTGTGCTCAGGAACAGCAGGGACAGGGATTGTGTGAACGCCGTCTCCAGTAACTGGGGACCTGCTGAAGTGATCTTATTGGCCATTCTGGTTCTAGTATGTCCTGGAAAAAAGTACTCCTTGGTGAAGTAATCTCAGATACAAATGAGAAGACAAGCTTGGGCATGGCCCAGAGGATATGCTCTGACTTCATCGAGGAGACTCAGGCTGTGCTTCGCAAGGTATGTTTCCTGAGGCTGCTTGGACACTAGGCTCCTTGTCGTGCGTGCTGTTAGGAAAACCTTGAGAATATCCAGTGAGCAAATGTCTTGTCATGTATGTATCCGACTGTGTTGACAGAGTTACACTTTAAAGTTATGACTATGGTGTGGGGAGACGGCCCAACGGGGGAAGTGCTTGCTGTGAGGACCTGGGTTCAGATCCGCATCACACAGGTGTCAGGTGTGCCTGTCACTCAGTGCTGGGTTTAGGGGGTTAGGTTGATTTCAGTGGAAACGGGAGAATCATGAAGGCTCACTGGCCAGCCAGCCTAGCCCAGATTGAGAGACATCGACTCAAGCAAACCACAGGTGGACAGCAATAGAAACTGGCACTCAGTATCAGCCTCGGGCCTGTACATGTGCAAGCATGGGGCAGTCTGGAGGGTTTACACAGTGTGTGATGCATGCTCACCTTGTGGGATTGCTTAGTCAGACTGTGTGACAGTGTCATCCACGCTAGAGCTCTTACAGTCTCTTTCTCGACATGCACTGAGTCTTGTTCCTAACTGAGGTCATGCGTTATATGGGGAACTCTAGGATCTGTTCCTTGTCTCTAGATAATCTCTGTGTTTGTTGACTGTCATCATCACAGTCTCGCTGGCATTTCCCTGGCGGCCACTGTTCTTTCTACAGATGTTAAGTGAGAAGAGGAAGGCTGTGGCTTTTATGCCTGACTTACTTCATCTAACTCATGTCCCGGAGGCTCACTCCTGGTATCACAAATAGGGGCTCCTATTCTCCTCCCTTTTTTGTGACATTAGGAATGGGACCCAGGTCCTGCTAGGCACACACTCTAAACCCGAGCCCTGCCACTGCTCTCATTTTTGTTTAAGACTATACCATTGTGTAAGGATATTAATATTATCTTTGTTCATTCATCGTGGGGCACTTAGGTTGAGTCCTAATTTTTGCCTCATGTTTTATCATTGCCTGATTTCTTGGTGATAGTGTCTCAAATATTTTTTCCTATACGTGTCTTAATTTCATAATTTTTTTGTTTTAATGAGAAACCAGTTCATAAGAAACTTGACTATATGAAAATTGAAAATTTTTAGTGCATTTTGAAGATTTTATGTTAAATGAAAAGAAAACCACAAAAGGACAAGTATGGTCCACTTACAGGGGACCCCAGGCTGGGAGATTCCCAGGGCTGGCGGAAGGAGCCGGCTCACTCAGTCATCCTTAGGGGAGGAAGCGATGTGAGGACCTAAGGCCACTGACTGACTGCCTCGAGCAGTTCGAACGGTAAATTTGATGATGCCCCTCCATTGTAATCAAAAGTTGAAAATAACTTGCAGGTTTCTGACTTGAAGGAGGGGAAGACGTTGCCGACACATCAGCTCAGTCTGGTGGAGGCACTTCGGATGGAAGAGCTGAGAATCCTCCAGGCTTCTGCTGTGATTGTGAGCAGTTCCCGAGCCCGCTGTCCCTGACATCACCGGAGGCCTGTGACTCCCTCCTGTGGAGGGTGGACTTCCGGCATTTTCACCAAGCTGGGAATAAACAGACTTTTATATGAAGTTATTTGAAGTCTTTGGATGGTTTCTGTTAAAGAGTAATGTGTGAATATTCCTCCCTCTGCTCCTCTATAAATAGTGGACTTGAAGAGCTGCTCCACGGGATGGCGCGGCGCCTGCTCCCAGCACCGGGAAGGATGTCCACAGGGAGCAGTGGAGGGTGCTAGGCATTGGGTAGCTGAAGACAGACATACGGCCGAGTTACCCTTGTCATGGACAGACATACTGCCGAGTTACCCTTGTCATGGACAGACATATTGCTGAGTTACCCTTGTCATGGACAGACATACTGCTGAGTTACCCTTGTCATGGACAGACATACGGCTGAGTTACCCTTGTCATGGACAGACATACTGCCGAGTTACACTTGTCATGGACAGACATACGGCCGAGTTACACTTGTCATGGACAGACATACGGCCGAGTTACACTTGTCATGGACAGACATACGGCCGAGTTACACTTGCCATCTACAGAAGTAAGCACAGCATGGAAGGTGAGGTGATGAGCCACAGAGTGGGAAGCTGTGTGGGTCAGACAGCCACTGTGGTCTGTTTCCCAAGTGTCTTCCATTTTAGTTCCCTCACTGGCTGTTAAAGGTCAAGAAGTGAACTTCTAAGACTCTGAGGTATTCTTGGCTTGAGGGACAAGTTGGGGCCGGGTGGCTCTGGTGGCGTTGTGGCAGAGGGTTGGCAGTGTTGGACCACACTGGACTGCTCAGACCTCCCCTCTGTAGAGTACCTTTGTTTCAGTTAAACTTTGTTTACAAGGATAGGCGGTGATAATTCCTTTATACTATTAAAAACAAAAATCCCCTCGAAAATTGAAACTTTCACAGACATGGTTATCATTGTTTTATTTGTCCAGTGATTAGAGGAAAAAAAAAAAAAAAGACACAGTAACACAGCCATCCACCACAGTTCCATAGACATCCGTGGTATTTTATAGCCACAATGGATCTGAGTTTGATAGATGGTTGTATAGGACTGGTTTGCAGATGTTAGCAAAAATACCTGTACGAATTGTAGGGGACCAAAATAATTCCGTTATGGAATGTTTTGAGGTCCAGCCTCTGGTTTCACTAAACAGGAGCACCTGAAAGCTCTGGCCCACTATTGTATTGCTAAGGCTAGCAGGTCTACTAGGTTTACCATAGCCTCAGTATAGAAGGCCTCCTAGTTTGCATCTCTATGGGCCTAAGCATCTGAATAGGCCTGCACCTGAGTTATAGGTAAGAGGAGTGTAAGTAAAGTGAGGACTGGAGAGTGAGGAGCCATCTAGCAGAGAGGAGAACAGAAAGACAGAAATGGCCTCCTCATGGCCATGGAAGCATGGTTAAGAAACAGCCGAAAAGATGGTAAATAAAGAAGAGACTCTAGTTTTACAACATGGAACTGAGAGCTCTCTAAAGATGACAAGATGCCTGTGTTTGGTCTTTATCGCCGTTGGGTTGCTAAGAGTTTCCAGGTCCACCCCCCCCACCCCCCCCACACACACTTAGGCCGAACCTCATGGCTTCAGGCCGAGACATGCCAGGTCACGACAATGAATGACTGAGAAACCATGGACCCTGGCAGAAAGTCTGGGTCCAGGTAGGGGCAGTCTGTGGCCTCCAGGTAAGACCATTGTTTCTAGGCCACCCCCATCATGATGTGTTCTTAAACAGCCAACAGTCATAGCCTCAGACCTGTCTCTCCCCACCTCAACCTCAGCAAGGCCCAGCCCAAGTACGGGTTCCTTCTTCGTTTTGCTTACCCAGCACCCATACCACTGTGCTCCGCACCTCACTCACACATAGCCCCACCTTCTGCTTTCCTCAGCTGGTGGCTTCAACTCACCTGAGGTTTCTATTCCCCCTCCCCCCCATCTGGTTACTGAGTTTGTGGGTGGTAAGCCTCCCACTGTGGCCTTGGCCTCAGGGGATAGACACCCAGGAGTTAAGTGATGTAACATCTATCACCCTTCAGGGTTGGGCGTTTACATTGGGCTGTAAGTGCTTTTGCTCCAGGGTTGAAGCTAGCAGTGACCTTTTAGAAGCTGTGGTTCTGAGTCAGAAAGTGACCTCTGACCTCATGGAAGCCAAGGAAGCAGATGCGGACCTCAAGCTGTGGGGTGAGAAGATCTTGAGTTTCTTTTAGCCCCCTGTCTTACGTGGAGGGTTAATGTTTGATCACTGTGTCCCGAGAGGGAAAGTAGAACAAACACACTGATTTCTTGGCTGGCAGCTGCACCTGGGACCTTTGTCAGGAATGCTGCGAGTTGGGTCACTCGGGAGTAAACATGCTTTTACAGAGCCAGAAAGTCTCGTGAGGGCGGAAGGGAACATGAACTGTGGGAGGGAAGAGGTGGCCCAGTGAGCACGTGTGTGTGTGTGTGTTTCCTTGCATGTGTGTGTGTGCGTGCCCGCACGAGTGTGTGTTTGCATGTGTGAGAGTACATGTGTGTCTGTTTCCTCATGTGTACCTGTGTGTGCCTGTGTGAGGGTATGCATGCCGAGACTCACGGTTGATGCTGGGAGTCTTGGTTACTCTCCCCCTTGTGCTGAGGGAAGGCCTCTCACGTAACTCCAGAGCTGGCCTGGGTAACCACCTTGCTCCAGGTTCCCGTCTCTGCTCAAACACTGGAGTCATAGGCAGGCTGCTGTGCCCGCCTGGCACTCCTGTAGATTCTGGGGGACCCACACTCTGGTCATCACACCCTGGCAAGACTTTCGCCACTTAGCTGCCTCTGCTTTCCTTTTGTGACAAGGCCTGGCTATGTGTCCAGGTGGCCTTGAACTGCCGATCCTTCTGCCTCACCCTCTGGAGTGCATGCACGGCAGGCATGCACCACACGCATGGCAGCTGCATGGGGCCTTACTGCAGCCCTCCTAACACATACAGCACTGCAGTGTTCTCACATGGCACGGTGCAGCCTACATGGCCTGCCATCATCATCCCCAGGCCTCCTTCCACACCCATGGCATCTGCTGCCTGCCTAGTCAGCGGCATTGCAGAGGACACAGCTCAGAGTGAGGACACACGGCCAGGGACCGCATTTAAGTGGAGAGCAGCAGGGCTGGTGTGGAGGCTCCCAGAAGGCTGCTGGGGTCTACTCTGGTCGTGTCCTCCGCAGACCCTGGCACCCAAGTCAGTGTTGGCTCAGGAATGCACAGTTCAAAGAAGCCCCTGGGGGTTCCTGAAGACCAGCTATGTATAATTCTGCAGGAACCCTGTGTGTGTGTGTTTTTTTTTTTCTTGTGTGTGTGTGTGTTTCCAGACAGGGTTTCTCTGTGTGTAGCTTTGGAGCCTGCCATGGAACTCCCTCTGGAGACCAGGCTGGCTTCCAACTCATAGAGATCCACCTGCCTCTGCCTCCCAGAGTGCTGGATTAAAGGCGTGAGCCACCGCCTGGTCCTTTAACTCTTGGTAAGTGACTTTAAGCAAATCTGAAGGCAGGTGCAGATTGGCCCTGTGGTGAGGCCGACTTAATCACTCTGGAGTGTGTCAGGCCAATGGGGTCCTTTAGGCTCCCCAGGCACAGCTGTCTGTAGTAACCTGTGGGATACAGGAGAAACCTGCTGTAACTGTTCCCAACTGGAACATTCTGGTTTCAAAGACCTTCAGTTATGATAGTTTGGTACGGAGAAGAGAGGTTATTGCTATATAAATAATCTTTGAAGTGGTAGCGTTTGGTGTAAAGAGGCATCCAAGGCTTTATTGTTTGGTCTAAAGAACACAGTTAGATATAAGCGCCCAGTGCCTGACAAGTAACATGCTTTATGTTTTCTCACCAGGCTCCCTTAAAACAGGCTGATGCCGGAAGCCTTGCAGCTTGGGCCTCTGAATGTTCCAGGGACTTTGCAGTCTTGCGCCATTTCCACCTTCCTACACTAGGTGGCGCCAGAGGACTGTTGCGCCGAGGATGCTGATTTGGGCCTTAGGGCTCCATCAAATTGAGCAATCAAAGGTGTCGCTCCTCAAGAGCGGATCCCAGTAAGGCAAAAACGACAGTCCTTTTGGGAAGCAGTATCTATGCGAGGTGGGAGCAGTGAGCAGGTGCACGTGAATTCAAGGTCATCAATGGTGAGGGTGAGGGGGCCGGGGTGGCTGAGTTCAGGGTGGAGGAGGGGCCATCTCTACTGATGAGCGGTGATGTCTTCAGCAGCACCGCAGAGGAGGACCAGGCAGCAGATGCTAACTTCCGTCCTAGCAGAACTTAGCTGCTCCCTGATGGAGAGGCAAAGACCAGAGCCGCCTGTAAGGAGCGGGAAGGACCACCCACACAAAGTCCTCCGGGCCAGGGATGTTTCTAGAAAGGTCCGTTTTGTGGAGGGCTGGAAAGCATCTGTTTCTGCGGACAGATGGCCCAGCCTTAGTTAGGGGTGCCGCCAGATCTGAGGGCAGAGCTTCAAGGCGCTCTTGGCTCCTCTGTGTACAGGCAGCTGACAGACTGCAGACCACCGTGCAGGCCGACTTAGTCCCAGCACACACCACTTCACGCCGGTGGCCATGGAAAGAAAACCTTTAGCCTGCAGGGCTTAGTCTGCAGACCAGAGAGCTACTGTCAAGGCATTTCCCTCTGTCCTCTCCCCTCCCTGACTCTTAATGATTTTGGTCCTTGGGTGTGGTTTGTTTCAGCCCATTTATCTGGACCAGGCCCTTATCACAACATTGGAATTTTACTTAAAAAAACAAAACAAAACAAAACAGAAAATCCAACTAGAGAGGCATATATTACCTCTTACCTGATGGGAGCAGCTGGTTGCATTTGGGACTGAGTTGTTGCTTCAGTGGCATTCAGGATGGTGAAACAGCTGAGTTTGATTGCTCTGGTCGAGTGTACCAAGGAAGGCCGACCAACCCTGTTGTCAAAAATGCTCCAATGCTACATTCAGAAACCCTGTCTCAAAAAACAAACCAAAACCAAACCAAAAACAAAGCAAAACAAAACAAACAAAAAACCAAATAAAACCCAAAAAGTGTTCCTGGGAAGTGAAGGCAATGCCTTTAATTGGGGCCATTTGCTTTCTAGCCCCATTCTCCAATCGGCTTCCTGCAGACAGGAACCGCAGCAGCCTGTCGGAGACGCAGGATGCTGGCCCTCCTTGACCACTAAGACAAAATCTGCATCTAAACAATCTACCACTCGAAGGAAAGCTAAAATGTCTGTGCTTCAGGGGTGTGGCTGGCTCCAGGGACGAGTCTGTTTGCTAGTGTGTTGTATGCAGTGCCCTTCTGTAGCTATGGGTTCTGTGTCTCAGAGTCAATCATCCTGGCATTGAAATTGGTCCTGGTTTGCTTTCTGTTGCTGTGGTAAAAAGACACTGACCAAAAGCAACTTATGGAAGGCAAGGGTTTACTTCATGTCATACTTTCAGGTCATAGCCTGTCACCGAGGACATCAGGGACATCATGTCAGGGTTTGCTGTTCCATAAAGTATCAACTCCAAACAGGGGACTCACTCAGCAGAGGGAGTCCCGCAGAAGCCAGGGGGGTGTGCTGCTTGATGGCTGCCTCTCGACTGACCTGTATAACTCACAACTATCTGTCTGGGGGATGGTATAGACCCGGGTGGCCCGGGCCTTCCTACACCGATTAATAATCTGTCCGCACACACATGCTCTCAAGTCAGTCTGCTCTGGGCAGCACCTCAATCAGTTGTTTTCCTCTCAGAATGACTGGAAGCTGTGTCTACAGTGAACACGAACTAGGTCAACCATGTACCAGTGCTTATACTGGATATAGCTTTAAACAGTAAGGGCGATTTGAAGCACACATAGCATGTATGCCATTTTGTGGGAGGGGCTTGGCATTTGCAAAGCTATCCTGTGAATGCTGAAGAATAGCTATACGGGTCTTCTGGGTGGTTCCATGTGACTATTCACTCTGTGGGGACACCTGCTCTCAACA